GCAGTCAACATCAAGCCCCTGCAGGCGATCTGTCCTGTCTGCAATAGCGCGCTTTTACGATCCTCTCGGGTTGGTTGAACATATGATCACAAGATCGAAAATTTTCTGTCAACAACTGTGCAAGGAGAAGTTGATGTGATGAAAGCCTTCCTGAGTCACAGAATACGGAATGGAGTGCTATATGTTCGACTTTGGGCAGATTAGGCATGCGTCATTTCCTCGGCTGGTTCGTTCTCCAAACTCTGAGAGTAAAATTCATGGATTTTGTGATGCCAGCATAGAAGCATATGGTGCCTGTGTCTACATCGTTTGCAACGGCCGATCTCAATTACTTTGCTCAAAGTCAAGGGTATCCCCCTTGAAAACACTCACTGTGCCCAAGCTGGAACTGTGTGGGGCGGAACTCCTCTCTAGGCTCATCGCAGAAGTGGCTGGGACGAGTGCATTTGAGGGAAAGTTTTACTGCTGGAGCGACTCTGCGGTAGCGCTTTAATGGATCCGAGACGAGCCGACCAGATTCAATATTTTTGTAGCGAACCGAGTAGCTGCCGTTCAAGAGCTAAGTGAGTCAGTGGAGTGGCGATATGTTTCAACTTCTTTAAATCCAGCTGACATTCTCTCCCGAGGTGCTTTTCCTGCTGAGCTCAACGAGTCTCCGCTCTGGGCTCATGGACCAAAATTCCTCTGTGGCCCCAAGCTGACTGGCCGACCCCAATCACTGCTGAACAGCCAACGCTTAAGGTTCGCCGGAGGATTCTACTAACAAAATCTCCATACGAAGACATAGTGGCCAGTTCAAAATTTGCCAATTCCTTTGCTGCCTTTCAAAGAATTTTCGGATACGTCTATAAGTTTAGTAGTCGCATCCATCGCCCTACGCTCACGGTGTCTGACCTTCAAGGCGGTACTCTACTGTTGCTTCGTCTTGTCCAGCGCTCACATTTATGGGATGACATCAAATCATTGCAGTCAAAGGGAATGGTGCACTCCTCCAGCTCGCTCGCATCTCTTTCGCCATTCATTGACCAATTTGGGCTTCTTAGAGTGGATGGACGGCTAAGGAATTCTTCTCTGGATTTTAATGTGCGTCATTTAATTATATTACCGCGGAGTCATTCGGTCACTATTGCCATTATTACTCACTTTCATGAACGCAATGTGCACACTGCGCCACGGGCATTACTTGGCATAATTCAATCCCAATATTGGCCTATTGGGGGGAGGAAGACTGTTATAAAGGCGGTAAACAAATGTATTAGATGCTTTCGAATGAAGCCTCGAGTAGTAGAGCATATCATGGCGGATATTCTAAAGGAGCGACTTGATGGATCTCATGCGTTCGAAGTCACTGGCATTGACTTTTGCGGGCCATTTTTCTACAAGTCAGAGGCGCGAAGCAAGCCTCCAGTAAAATGCTACGTTTGCGTCTTCATTTGTTTCGCCACGAAGGCTATTCATTTGCAGTTCATCAAGGATCTCTCTCCGGTATCGTTTCTACATGGCCTCAAACGATTTATATGCACTAGAAGAAGGCCGCGGCAGATTTGGTCTGATAATGCAACCAACTTTGTTCGCGGCCGCAATGAGCTGCTTGAACTAAGGCGCCTATTCCTCAGCAGTGATCACCAGAGAGCTACGTTGGACTTTTGCCTAGCGGAGGCTATTGATTGGTGTTTCATTCCTCCTAGGTCGCCACACTTTGGCGGTCTTTGGGAAGCGACTGTGAAGATCGCTAAGCATCATTTCTACCGCACTGTTGGCTTTGCTGTTATAGCCTTTGAGGAGTTGCGGACCCTGGTGTGTCACATATCGGCGGTTGTTAATTCTCGACCATTAGTCTCGGTTTCAGAAAACCCAGCTGATCTGGATGTATTAACCCCAGCACATTTTTTGAATGGTGGTCCGCCTTCCTCTTTCGTCGAGCCGGATGTGACCAGTCTGGCTTACTTGCAGGTCCCAAAGGAAGGAAGAATACTTAACATTACTGCAGCAGCGCTCCAAGTGGCGCACCCCAAAACCTGGCCTGGTTGTCGATGACTTAGTTCTGGTTAAGGACGAAAACTTGCCTCCCATGAAGTGGCCCCTCGCCAGAGTGATCGAGCTTCTGTTCGGTGGAGATGGGGTTGCTCGAGTTGCCGTTCTGAAGACAGCATCAGGAGTGACAAAGCGAGCAGTAATCAAGCTGTGTCTGCTTCCCCTTAAGGATGATGTTGAAACCCAGGCTTCGAACGGGGGGTGTATGTCGGTTGACGCAGCCGCAGCAGCTTATTAACTTAATTCGATCTCTATCTAGCTCTCTCGTTTTTTGTGTACTTGCATTCTTGGGCCCAGCATTCGGCTGGCTATTCCTTTGTAAAATGAGTACGAATTCTGATCTCGACATTAAATGCACTTTCGTCTCGCCTGCTGTACTCTCTCTCGCTAATAAATTGTTAACAAGCCTAAAGCAACTTGAAATTCGTATTTTAATTTAGCAATAACTAATAAAAAAGCTGATTAGTTCAAAAGTATTTTTGAATTACCTTGTGGTAATTCCCACAAGATGAGGATTTTCTTCAGTGGACGTTGATTACAAGATATACATGAATGTATGGAAGACTCGGGGGATGAAAGATTAGAAGTTGTATGGCTGTCATGGCAAAGTGGAATCAGATTACAGAAAAAACGGACAGTATAGGTAAGCTATCTGTCTATTGTGGGCTATTAAAACCTTTCCGAGGAAGTTTTGGACGGTCACCTTTTGTAGCGTCTTAGGAACGGCTAGTGGGTGGTCCAACCTATGCTCCCACTCCAATCCATTGAAGCATCCACCCAATCACTTCGTTGACAAGAGAGAAGCGAAGCAACAGCTTGACTTATTCAGGAACACAACAAATTTTTATTTGACGCTTTTGGATTGAGACAAAGAATTCGCTTGGAATAGAAAAGCTATGTTACATCTTTACTAACGTTAATTATTTTATTGGACGAGTGTACAATGGCGAATAATACAGATGAACGCAAATCAACAGCTCATTGGTGGTGCATTGGTATTACTGCCAGAGGACTTTTGTCAAAAAGTGCCTGTCATTTCTCGATCAACTTCTACTGATGAAATAAATGCCTGTTTGAAGTCATCAATTCTTTGGAGATACATATGTATGTCGGATATAGGGGTCTCTTCGCCGCTTCGCGAGTTGATTTGCACTTCATGATTATATTTGCACTTGGGTTTTCTTACTAAGATGCGCAGCGAGAACAATTGTTCGTGTTGCCCGTTCGAAGGTTCTCGAAAGAAATGAGTCCTGAACACTCTACTACTCTGCAGAACTCTATTGTGTTCTTGTCATTTTTAATTTAATATATACTACCTTTAATTTCACTCTCCTTATTGCAACAACAATTACGTCTTGAATCTCTTAAGAAGGTTTAACTTCTTTCTCTCAACTCTTTATTTCTAAAGACAGGTTTCTCTCAGTTACATTGATTTTATTTTACACTAGATATTATTAATTTTAATTCTCTTTACACGGCTATTCTGGCTATTACACGTCCTCGTGTGCATGGCTTAACATTTGATTGGCATTACATCTTGCTAATTAGAAACGAATTCGAACTTACTCATTAACTTACATCATGACTTTTTTTAGCCCTTAATACATTTCTTGAGTCTTCAAATGACAGTTTGGCAAGATAACTCTTTCTCATTAGTAGCTTGTACTCATCTGCGCAAACCCGACCATTAGCTTACAATTTATCACAACACAGTACAGGCTCTTGCCGCCACTTGCGACGATATGCACCCTTAGAGCTACAATCTCTTTTTAGATCAAACTTAGCCTCTGTGTGTAATGTCCCGTGCACCCCTCTTAGGTGACGCCGTCACTCTCTTCGACCAACTCAGATGCAACTCGCTTATCTGGTAATTTTCGCTAGCTCTCAAGCGGATACTTTTAAATTCTTTTACTAGTCAATGATTTTAACAGGTAACGATCACCTTCCAGCAATTCTATTACCAAAAGCGGTCCCTTAATCTTGGGATCCAATTTCGTTTAATGCCGTTCCTCATTTTCATTTATCATTTTTTACATTTTTATCCATATTTTCTTTAGTTTCGGCCCAAGCTTCCTTACAATCTACCTAAGGTTCAGCTATTATGGGTAACGTGCCCAAAGGTTTTGCCTATTTTCCTTTTAGTAATTCTAAGGGGCTGAAATTAGTCACCAGATTACTAGTACAATTCATAGCTAACTGGACGTCCATCAACGCATCCTGCCAAGAGCCTTCGCCTGTCTCACCTGCGTTCAACGTTTTATTCAACGTCTCATCACGCGCTCCACTTGGCCGTTTGCCCTGCTTGCCCCTGTTGCAATAAAATGTAACTGAATTTTATTTAATGAACAGAAGTCACGGAATCGACCATTAGCAAAGCTCCAACCTTGATCTGCAATGATACGACTAGGAACCCCAAAAAGTGAAATACCTGTCTTTACTGCGTTGATAAAAGTTTCAGAATCCAAAAGTTTCAGAATCGTTATCCGTTTCCTGTAGTGGTTTCGGGACGCACATCTTCCACGCACATTCCGATACCCATCATCTATCGATAACCCAGCGGGGTCCGCATGATATCGATACCCACCAGCGACCTATATCGCTGGGGCACCGTTGCGACTTGCTCGCTGCATGTTCACCATGAACGATGTTTCCATTTTGCGTGTTCCCATCGATCGCACTATCGTCCAGTGCCAAACGACCGCCTATCGAGGCGCCCCCTTCCCTGGGTCATGGTGATTTTGCAACTTTCAAAGGTAAGTTTTCGCACTTCTTTACTCCTTTCTATCCCAACCTTTCTCTCCCTCCCTTTATTCTCTCTCTGCCTTCCGTCGTCCTCAGCTGACTGAACCTGGGTCCACGCTTACAACACTCAAGACCGGATGCGGAGAGGACTTCGCATTTGCCTCGCAGCAGGTAAGTACAGTGGTGTTTGTTTTCTGCTTCCTGCATTAAACCCCACTCCGTAGTCACACTCCACATCGCGATTCCTCAAACACGGAGCCCTCGAAAGCACCCGAAATGTGAGCCCTGACGAAGGCATCATCGCTGGGAGTGCGCTTCTTATCGCTGTCCTCCAAAATGGTGCGGTCAATGCTGCCGTCCTGATTTGGACTCAGATCCTCGCCCTTCCAGCCCATCATCTCCAGCTCAAAGTTCAGAGTAGCATCCGGAGGAATGGCGGGCGGGCTGCCAGCAGCTTGGTAAGCGTAATTGGGAGCACATGTCATTAAGCAGCGTTCGCCGATCTTCATGGTGGCCACCCCCATGTCGAAGGCCTTGATAACATTACCTTTGCCGAGCGGAACCTCGAACCTCATTACGGCCGACGCTGGATTCAAATTCCGTGCCATCGACCAGGCGACCCGTGTAGTGCATCCACAGTGCTGTGCCCTTGCCCTCCTCCAGGATCTTCTTGAGCCCGCCACCATTTCCTGTAGACGTTTCGGGACGCACATCTTCCATGTTGCGACATCCTCGCTGCCCACTCTTTGGGGTATATTCCTGTACAGGGTGTTACCCTCCATCAGTCCGGATACTTTTGCGGCTGGGTCCTTATCTTTTCGCGCATTTCCTGAATCCAGCTGCGTTCTGCAGAAGCTTCCGCCGCCGACGTCTCCTTGATCACTCAAAGCGTTTCCGGTAGTGGCTGCCTTGACAAAGCGTCTGTCACCACGTTGAGTTGTCCTTTCCTGTGCGCTATTTCGAAGTCGAACTGCTGCAACTTCAGGGCCCATCTGGCGAACCTCCCTGAAGGGCTTTCTATGCTGTTGAGCCACTTTAGCCCCACGTGGTCGGTTACTACTAACCTTCCAGATACGGTTTAAGCTTTCGGAACGCCCAGACGATTGCCAAGCACTCCTCCTCGTTCGTTGAGTAATTCTTCTCAGCGCCGTTGAGCGTTCGGCTTGAGTAAGCGCCTGGTGTTCCACACCCACTTATTGTCCTTGCGTAGAAGGTCGTTGAGAGGTTTGACTATTTTTGCGAAGTCAGGTACAAACCGGCGGTACCATAATGCTGCGCCCAGGTACTGTCGGAGCTCTCTTACTGTTGATGGTGGTTCTAGTTCGGCGATGGCTACATCCTTTTTCTACTCACTCGATGACCAAGATACAACAGCTCTTTCCTGAAAAATTGGCACTTTCCGGGCTTAACCTCAGATCCTCCTTTAGCCGAAGGAATACTTCCTTCAGGTTAGCCTTGTGTTCTTCCAGCGAGCGTTCGATCCGATGTCATCCTGGTAAGCAAATGCGTGCGGTGACATTTCGGGGCCGATCCGTTGAAAATCCGCAAACGCCGAATGAATTCCGATTGGCATTACTCTCCACTGGAATAAGCCTTTCCCCAGCACTGTTAAGGCCGTGTACTGCCTGCTATCTTCTTTCAGTGGGATTTGCCAGTACCCAGTCTTTAGGTCCAAGCTGCTCCTTTATAGACTTGGCGTTGATTTGCTCCATTCTCTCCATTCGCCCGACTTTTTTTTAAGCAACACGATGGGACGGCTGTATGGACTTGTTGAGAGTGGAGAAGCTCGTCCACCTTCGCATTGATCTCCCCTTGAACTTTCGGATTCTTGGGGTAGTATCGTTGCTATATTGGTTTGTCGTCTTTCATCGTGATCTGATGCTCTGCCATGTTCGATGTTCCCGTCATGTTGTTGAAACACGATAGCTCTGCCTCCAGGAATTTCGTCGTGTTGTCATCTTCGCTTGCCTGTTTCAGGACTGCCACCGTAAGCTTTCCTCAAGCCATCCATTGTGTCGATTCCTGGCCGGTATTATTATTTCGTGTCCAGCACACTTACTCTCAGTTCCGACTTGTGATAGAAAGTTTCATCCCAACACCAATGAATCCACTACCCCTGGTAGTATAAGCAGGCTTAAGCTCAGTCGATTGTTCCCGAAAGCGATTTCCACCTCCAGCTGTTCATCGATTCCGCCACATCTTCCGTCAGCCAACCTAACTTGCCGTCGTATCCTCGTAATCTTCCCGACGGCAGCCAGGTTGTCCGCCAGTTCGTATAAAGCTTGCTGTTGCCCCGGTGTCGATTGTGGCCTTGTACGTGCCACCACCAATCGTCACCGCTGCGGACAACTGCTGATCTTACTCGATCAGCTTTCCCGTTCGTGTGGAGAGATAACAGCTTGCGACCCCCGCTCGCCTCTCTGCGGCTGAGATCGCTGGGCATTTCCCGTCTGCTGGCAGCATTCAACGTTTCTGACGCCTACTCTCCCGCTCACCCAGCAGAACAACAGCCGTTGGTAACGACATCCCCGCGCCCAGTGTCCATGACCTCCGCACTTTTAGCAGGCCTCCTTGGGGTCTGTAATGTGTGCCTGTCTCTTCGCATCTTCTGCATGTTACCTGCGTTGGTGATGCCGACTTGGACTTCGAGAATTTGCTTTCTTGCGCGAACGCTTCCCGTTCCTTTTCGAGTTCTTCGTACTCATCTGCTAATATAATCATCAGCGCGTTCAGGTCCGACACTTTGTACGCCCTTAGGAAGATCCTTAGACATGGGGTGCAGTTTTCCTTGATGATCCTTAAGGTCTCTTTCGCAGAATTATTAAGTGGCCTCACCATCGTCTGCATGTTGATCATGTAGTCTTTGAACGTCTCGCTGAAGCCCTGCTTCCGTTGCCTGACCTGATCCGCCAGCCTGGTGAAGAAGTCTCTCGAAAGAAAGTATGTGTGGAAGGTATATATGAACTCCGACCAGGTTTTCCATTGTTTGTTGTTGGCGTTGAACCACTTCAAAGTCATTCTCTTAAGCAATTCCTGCATCGCTCGGGAATCATGTCTAAATCCAAACCGTATGTGTTGGCGAACCATTCCACCTGTTCCAGGAACTCGAACGGTTTTCCGCCCCGTCGAACCTGAACGACCATTCACGGACCTGTTTAGCGACCCTTGCATTGTCTGACTGACTGGTCACTAGGTCAACGTTGTTATTTTCCTGACTTGGCTTGACTCTTTCCTGTCTGCCTTTTTTTGTAAGTTGTCAACACTCAGGCTTCCCAATAGGTTGTCCCCCTCAGCGTTTGTTCACGTGGCGACGAGTTGTGGGTCGTTCTCCGTTTCTGAGTAGTATTCCGACAGTGCCTTCCTCATGTCGTCTAGCCTGCCGTCCAGGGCGACATTAAGCCTTTGTGAGACATTGGCGAAGTCCTCCTTTTAAAGCTGGTAGGTCCACTTCTATCCCATTCTGTTTAAGTTGCTTTCACTGCTGGGACAATCACGTTGGGCGCCAGATGTAACGAACTGATTTTTGTGGTCTGCTCGCCACGAGATTCGTGCACCAAATTTATATAAACGTGACCGCCCAGTAGCTCAGTGAGAAGGCACAGAGTTCACGGGTTCGCAGTTGGTTTATTGCGGGCATACTATTACAAATGACTTGGTAGCTTGGTTGGCCTTGATATCGCCACTTGCGGCCTTCGGTGTCTCCGACGGTATTGGTTGTCTCAACGACCTCTCGCCTCGTTGTCTCGGTGCTCCAGTCCTGTAGCTCCCTGAAGATCCTTGAAGCTCCCTGAAGATGCTCGCTCGCTGCTCGTCCCTGACGCGTTGACTCGATGACTGCTTATGACGACTCGGACTCGCGAGGGGGGTCAGCCGTGCGGGCTTAGGGAAGCGTCACCGTTCTCAGACTAGGGTGAACAGATGCTACGCTCTCCAGGATCACTCCTTTCGACACACCGCCGCCTGTCTCTTGCTCTGTCCCGGATGGTCCCACTGGGGTTTCTGCTCAGCCCTCGCGGAAAGTCAAGGATAAACGCCAGGAAGTTGCCTCGCGCTTTACATCGCTTCTACGCCTAGTGTAAACGAACGTTCCACTTAAGCCTCACCCTTCTGCTTATTGTCTTGCGTTTTTGTCGTAATGTGGTGGCTGGCTTGCTGCTGACAATGTCTTGCGCACTGCTCCTGGCTGTGCTGGCTGCGCGGCTGGACGTAGCGTGGCTTCTGGTCTTTGGGGTTTCGGGCGTACGCCTATCCGGGACTTCATGAGGCGAGAACGTCCTCACTGTTGCAGTTGTTCCTCACTGTGCTGGCTGTGCGGCTGGACGTAGCATGGCATCTGGTACTCGGGGTTTCGGGCGTACGCCTATCCGGGACTTCACGAGTCGAGACCGTAGGGCTCTCCTGGACAACTCCACTCGAGACCGTATCGATCGACCGCTCTCCCTTCTGGCTTGTTATACTCGGGACTCGGAGACGCCGTTCTAGGACCTCACGAGTCGAAACCGTTGGGCTCTCCTGGACAACTCCACTCGAGACCGTACCGATTGACCGATCTCTCTTCTGGCTTGTTATACTTGGGATTCTCTAGGTGTAACGACAGGCCTTCACCTAGCTGTGTGATGCCCTCTGGATCTCAGCTACTTGCGTCTCAATTCGGAGATTCCTGGTATCCCAATCCCGAATGTCTCGATGTAGCGCTCTTGCTCCATGTAGGCTCCCAGGGCGCTGCTTTTCCGACGACTCAACTTGTTGTAGCTCCATTGTAGTTTATTTAGTTAACTGACCGTTTGGTATCTTCACTGATCTTGATGGTTTGACTCCTCGTGAATGACTGATCCTGCTTCCAGAGCTGCGCCCACTTATATAGGACTCCTGGTACCGTTAGTTCTAGGAATCTGCGCACGGCACCACTTCAGGGTCCAAAGTCCGCGGTTTTACCGTTCGACACGGCCCCACACTAGGGTGCTAAGCGCGGCTATCCACCGTTAATCCTTAGCTCTTTCTCTCCAAGCTCTCTTTCCTCGTACTCTCCAAACTCTCTTAATCCAAATTCTCCAAGCTCTCTCGTACTAAATTCTCCAAAACTCTCCCGAACTGAATTCTCCAAACTCTTTTGAACTGAATTCTCCTAACTCTCTTAAACTGAATTCTCCAAGCTTTCTTTTCCCGCAGTGCCGTTCCTACGCGGATTCGCCGCGTATCTGGTAAGCGGCCGGCCATCTGTCGCTGCTGCTGCTGAGATTTGTTTCAATTCCTCACACTCCGCGCTTAATTCCGGAAACATATAAAAACTCCTTCCTACTCTTCGGCGTTTCCTTGCATATCCGAGCCTTCAAGTCCTCCTGCGTTGCTCCCTCGAAGCTCCCTCGACGCCTTTGAACTCCCTTGAGTTTCACACTCCACATCGCGATTCCTGAAACACGGAGCCCTCGAAAGCACCCGAAATGTGAGTGCGTCTCTGTGCCCTTGCCCTCCTCCAAGATCTCCTTGAGCACGCCGCCGTCCTCTGACAAGTCGATTTTATTTCCCTCTGGCATTCTCCTCCTTCCTACCCAGATCTACGGTACAGCTCTCTGATCTGTGCCGTCTTCCCCAATCCTTTGTCTTATCGTGTTCATGTAGTTATTTCGTAGTATCCTTGGCGAGTCCCTGGAGCTATCCCTTGCGAATCCTTGCATTTATCCTTGGAGTGTGTTTGTAGTATCCTTTTAGGATCCTTGGAGTTATCCTTGGACTCTTTCGTCGTATTATTTGAGAATCCTTGAAGTTATCCTTGGACTCTCTTGTAATATCCTTTGAGAATCCTTGGAGTTATCCTTGGACTCCTTTCGTACTATCCTTTGAGAATCCTTGTAGTTATCCTTGGAGTTTCAATGTTGTCTTGCGTCTATTGTGTCTGCTTGTTGTAGCCGCTCGCTTGTGTTTTCCGTTTGTTGCTGTTTCAGCTCGCTTTCGTGGATGGTCTGCTCTTTCTTTGTGTTTACGTGTCGTATTTTGCAGATTACTGGTGACGCAAAACCCATGACTTGTTAAGGTCCGACGTATCTTGGGGCCAATTTTGCTGCGAACCCTTCGGCCGCTTTTGATAACTGGTGTTCTTTCACCGACACGACGGCACCCTCCACTGGCGTCCATTGCCTCCTCCTTAGGTTACAATGCCTAGCCTGATCCTGGGAGTCTCTCTTCAGATTCCGCCTTACAATCTCGAAGATTTCCCTGAATTTGTTGGCCTTCTCCTCCGGGGTCTCAGTCAGTCGTCCGGTCCCTACCGTCTCTCTGTCGTATAGGGCGCTCGGTAGTCTTGGTTCTCTGAACGACGGTGTGTAACCTGTGGATTCCGACACGCTCGTGTTTACTGCCAGCGTGATTTCCGGCCATTTTTCGTCCCAGTTTCTTTGGTTCTGCCCTGCGAACTGCGCTGTCATTGTCTTCACCGTCCTATTTGCTCTCACAGTCGGGCTCTCCACTTGGAGAACCGGTCTATTAGTACCAGAAGCATTTGGTTGCCGTGCTTTGAACGCGGCAGGGCTCCGACGAAGTCCGCACATACCGTAGCCCATGGTCTTCTGGCACCTGCGTCACTTCAGACCCATGTGGTCGGTTACTACTAACCTTGCAGATATGGTTTAAGCTTTCGGATCGACCAGACGATTGCCAAGCACTCCTTCTCGTTCGTTGAGTAATTCGTCTCAGTGCCGTTGAGCGTTCAACTTGAGTAAGAGATTACCTTTTCGCCTCGTTCAGTCTCCTGGGTATAGATTGCGCCGTAGTCGTTCGCGTCAGTTTGCAAGATAAATGGCTTGTCGAAATCCGGGCGCGCCACACCCACTTATTGCTCTTGCGTAGCAGGTCGTTGAGAGGTTTGACTATTTTTGCGAAGTCAGGTATAAACCGGCGGTACCATGATGCTACGCCCAGGTACTGCCGGAGCTCACTTACTGTTGATGGTTTTTCTAATTCGGCGATGGCTACTACCTTTTCCGGATCCGTGCCTATTCCTTCGCTACTCACTCGGTGACCAAGATACAACAGCTCTTTCCTGAAAAATTGGCCTTCCATTGTGTCGAATCCTGGCCGGTATTATTATTTCGTGTACAGCACAATTAATCTCAGTTCCGACTTGTGTTAGAAAGTTCCATCCCAACACCAATGAATCCACTACCCCTGGTAGTATCAGCAGGCTCATGCTCAGTCGCTTGTTCCCGAAAGCGATATCCACCTCCAGCTGTTCATCGATTCCGCAACATCTTCCGTCTGCCAACCGAACTTGCCGGCAACATTCGATGCTCCTGACGCCTTCTCTCCCGCTCACCCACCAGAACAACAGGCGTTGGTGTCGACATCCCCGCGCCCAGTGTCCATGACCGCCGCACTTTCGGCAGACCTCCTTGGGGTCTGTAATGTGTGTCGTTTCACGATGCCTTTGTGTTGTACTTGGTGGTGTCCATTGGCCTTCGCGTGGTGCACCTGTTGCCTGCTGCCGTGGGACTCGGTTAGGTGGCGACCATTGGTCGTTTCCCCGTGTCTCCTGGGTGCCTGTCTCTTCGCATCTTCTACATGTTACCTGCGTTGGTGATGCCGACTTGGACTTCGAGAATTTGCTTTCTTGCGCGAACGCTTCCCGTTCCTTTTCGAGTTATAATCATCAGCGCGTCCAGGTGCGACACTTTGTACGCCCTTAGGAAGATCCTTAGACTAGGGGTGCAGATTTCCTTTATGATCCTTAGGGTCTCTTTCGCAGAATTATTAAGTGGCCTCACCATCGTCTGCATGTTGATCATGTAGTCTTTGAACGACTCGCTGAAGACCTGCTTCCGTTGCCTGACCTGACCCGCCAGCCTGGTGAAGAAGTCTCTCGAAAGAAAGTATGTGTGGAAGGTATATATGAACTCCGACCAGGTTTTCCATTGTTTGTTGTTGGCGTTGAACCACTTCAAAGCCCTTCTCTTAAGCAATGCCGGCATCGCTCGGGAATCATGTCTAAATCCAAGCCGTATGTGTTGGCGAACCATTCCACCTGTTCCAGGAACTCGAACGGTTTTCCGCCTTGTCGAACCTGAACGACCATTCACGGACCTGTTTAGCGACCCTTGCATAGTCTGACTGACTGGGTCACTAAGTCAGCGTTGGTATTTTCCTGACTTGGCTTGACTCTCTCCTGTGCGCCTCTTCTTGTAAGTTGTCAACGCTCAGGCTTGCCACTAGGTTGTCCCCTTCAGCGTTCGTTATCGTGTCGACGAGTTGTGGGTCGCTCTCCGTTTCTGAGTAGTACTCCGACAGTGCCTTCCTCATGTCGTCTAGCCTGCCGTCCAGGGCGACATTAATGCTCTGTACGACATTGGCGAAGTCCTCCTTTTTAAGCCGTTAGATCCACTTCTTTCCCATTCTGTTTAAGTTGCTTTCACTGCTGGGACAATCACGTTGGGCGCCAGATGTAACGAACTGATTTTTGTGCTGCTCGCTACGAGATTCTTGCGGCTAGCTCAGTAGATTGTGTGTTCGTCCCACCAAATTTATATAAACGTGACCGCCCAGTAGCTCAGTGAGAAGGCACAGAATTTACGGGTTCGTAGTTGGTTTATTGCGGGTATATTATTACAAATGACTTGGTAGCTTGGTTGGCCTTGATATCGCCACTTGCGGCCTTCGGTGTCTCCGACGGTATTGGTTGTCTCGACGACCTCTCGCCTCGTTGTCTCGGTGCTCCAGTCCTGTAGCTCCCTGAAGATCCTTGAAGCTCCCTGGTACTCTCCAAACTCTCTTGATCCGAATTCTCCAAGCTCTCTCGTACTAAATTCTCAAAAGCTCTCTCGAACTGAATTCTCCAAACTCTCTTGAACTGAATTCTCATAACTCTCTTGAACTGAATTCTCCAAGCTTTCTCGCGTATTCGCCGCGTATCTGGTAAGCGGCCGGCCATCTGACGCTCCCTCGAAGCTCCCTCGACGCTTTTGAACTCCCTTGAGTTTCTACAGCGCTGGTCATCCTTCTCGTAGTAACTTCAAATCTCCCGCGCCGATCCTCCATCTGTTCCCACTGGGCATCGATACCCATCAGCTATCGATAACCAAGCGGGGTCCCCATGATATCGATACCCATCAGCTACCGTTATAGCTGGGGGGGCGTTGCCACTTGCTCGCTGCGATATTCACCGTGAACGATGTTTGCATTTTGCGTGTGCCCATCGATCGCCAGTGCCAAACGACCGCCTACCGAGGCGCCAAGGTGGCCACCCCCATGTCGAAGGCCTTGATAACATTGCCTTTGCCGAGCGAAACTTCGAAGAGCTCATTGCGGCCAACTCTGGAATCAAATTCCGTGCCATCGACCAGGCGACCCGTGTAGTGCAGGGAAACAGTGCATCCGGTGTGTGGCGTCTCTGTGCGCTTGCCCTCCTCCAGGATCTCCTTGAGCACGCTGCCGTCCCCTGACAAGTCGATTTTATTTCCCTCCGGCATTCTCCTCCTTCCTACCCAGATCTACGGTACAGCTCTCTGATCTGTGCCGTCTTCCCCCTTCCTTCGGCAGACTGCTGATGCGTGTTCTCCGATCAGTCCCCATCGAGTCTTTGGACGCCCTGGTCTGCCCCTTTGTGTTCTTGTCATTCTCGTATTTCCTTGTACCTTTGTAGTTGCCCTGTAGTATCCTTGGAGATGCCTTGGATTTATCTTAACGTGTTCATGTAGTTATTTCGTAGTATCCTTGGCGAGTCCCCGGAGTTATCCCTTGCGAATCCTTGCATTTATCCTTGGAGTGTGTTTGTACTATCCTTTGAGGATCCTTAGAGTTATCCTTGAACTCTTTCGTCGTATTATTTGAGAATCCTTGAAGTTATCCTTGGACTCTCTTGTAATATCCTTTGAGAATCCTTGGAGTTATCCTTGGACTCCTTTCGTATTATCCTTTAAGAATCCTTGTAGTTATCCTTGGAGTTTCAATGTTGTCTTGCGTCTATTGTGTCTGCTTGTTGTAGCCGCTCGCTTGTGTTTTCCGTTTGTTGCTGTTTCAGCTCGCTTTCGTGGATGGTCCGCTCTTTCTTTGTGTTTACGTGTCGTATTTTGCAGATTACTCGAGACGCAAAACCCATGACTTGTTAAGGTCCGTCGTATCTTGGGACCAATTTTGCTGCGAACCCTTCGGCCGCTTTTGATAACTGGTGTTCTTTCACCGACACGACGGCACCCTCCACTGGCGTCCATTGCCTCCTCCTTAGGTTACAATGCCTAGCCTGATCCTGGGAGTCTCTCTTCAGATTCCGCCTTACAATCTCGAAGATTTCCCTACGTTTGTTGGCCTTCTCCTCTGGGTCTCAGTCAGTCGTCCGGTCCCTACCGTCTCTCTGTCGTATAGGGCGCTCGGTAGTCTTGGTTCTCTGAACGACGGTGTGTAACCTGTGGATTCCGACACGCTCGTGTTTACTGCCAGCGTGATTTCCGGCCATTTTTCGTCCCAGTTTCTTTGGTTCTGCCCTGCGAACTGCGCTGTCATTGTCTTCACCGTCCTATTTGCTCTCACAGTCGGGCTCTCCACTTGGAGAACCGGTCTATTAGTACCAGAAGCATTTGGTTGCCGTGCTTTGAACGCAACAGGGGTCCGACGAAGTCCGCACATACCGTAGCCCATGGTCTTCTGGCACCTGCGTCACTTCAGACCCATGTGGTCGGTTACTACTAACCTTGCAGATATGGTTTAAGCTTTCGGATCGGCCAGACAATTGCCAAGCACTCCTTCTCGTTCGTTGAGTAATTCTTCTCAGCGCCGTTGAGCGTTCAACTTGAGTAAGAGATTACCTTTTCGCCTCGTTCAGTCTCCTGGGTCTAGATTGCTCCGTAGTCGTTCGCGTCAGTTTGCAAGATAAATGGCTTGTCGAAATCCGGGCACGCCACACCCACTTATTGCTCTTGCGTTGCAGGTCGTTGAGAGGTTTGACTATTTTTGCGAAGTCAGGTACAAACCGGCGGTACCATGATGCTACGCCCAGGTACTGCCGGAGCTCACTTACTGTTGATGGTGGCTCTAATTCGGCGATGGCTACTACCTTTTCCGGATCCGTGCCTATTCCTTCGCTACTCACTCGATGACCAAGATACAACAGCTTTTTCCTGAAAAATTGGCCATCCATTGTGTCGATTCCTGGCCGGTATTATTATTTCGTGTACAGCACATTTAATCTCAGTTCCGACTTGTGTTAGAAAGTTCCATCCCAACACCAATGAATCCACTACCCCTGGTAGTATCAGCAGGCTCATTCCCAGTCGCTTTTCCCGAAAGCGATATACACCTCCAGCTGTTCATCGATTCCGCAACATCTTCCGTCTGCCAACCGAACTTGCCGGCAGCATTCGATGCTCCTGACGCCTTCTCTCCCGCTCACCCACCAGAACAACAGGCGTTGGTGTCGACATCCCCGCGCCCAGTGTCCATGACCGCTGCACTTTCGGCAGACCTCCTTGGGGTCTGTAATGTGTGTCGTTTCACGAGGCCTTTGTGTTGTACTTGGTGGCCTACACACAGTGTTTGTTGGCTGCATCTGTTGCTGTTGTGGTGGTGTCCATTGGCCTTCGCGTGGTGCACCTGTTGCCTGCTGCCGTGGGACTCGGTTAGGTGGCGACCATTGGTCGTTTCCCCGTGTCTCCTGGGTGCCTGTCTCTTCGCATCTTCTACATGTTATCTGCGTTGGTGATGCCGACTTGGACTTCGAGAATTTGCTTTCTTGCGCGAACGCTTCCCGTTCCTTTTCGAGTTCTTCGTACTTATTTGCTAATATAATCATCAGAGCGTCCAGGTGCGACACTTTGTACGCCCTTAGGAAGATCCTTAGACTAGGGGTGCAGTTTTCCTTTATGATCCTTAGGGTCTCTTTCGCAGAATTATTAAGTGGCCTCACCATCGTCTGCATGTTGATCATGTAGTCTTTGAACGACTCGCTGAAGCCCTGCTTCCGTTGCCTGACCTGATCCGCCAGCCTGGTGAAGAAGTCTCTCGAAAGAAAGTATGTGTGGAAGGTATATATGAACTCCGACCAGGTTTTCCATTGTTTGTTGTTGGCGTTGAACCACTTCAAAGCCCTTCTCTTAAGCAATGCCGGCATCGCTCGGGAATCATGTCTAAATCCAAGCCGTATGTGTTGGCGAACCATTCCACCTGTTCCAGGAACTCGAACGGTTTTCCGCCTTGTCGAACCTGAGCGACCATTCACGGACCTGTTTAGCGACCCTTGCATAGTCTGACTGACTGGGTCACTAAGTCAGCGTTGGTATTTTCCTGACTTGGCTTGACTCTCTCCTGTGCGCCTCTTCTTGTAAGTTGTCAACGCTCAGGCTTGCCACTAGGTTGTCCCTTTCAGCGTTCGTTATCGTGTCGACGAGTTGTGGGTCGCTCTCCGTTTCTGAGTAGTACTCCGACAGTGCCTTGCTCATGTCGTCTAGCCTGCCGTCCAGGGCGACATTAATGCTCTGTACGACATTGGCGAAGTCCTCCTTTTTAAGCCGTCAGATCCACTTCTTTCCCATTCTGTTTAAGTTGCTTTCACTGCTGGGACAATCACGTTGGGCGCCAGATGTAACGAACTGATTTTTGTGCTGCTCGCTACGAGATTCTTGCGGCTAGCTCAGTAGATTGTGTGTTCGTCCCACCAAATTTATATAAACGTGACCGCCCAGTAGCTCAGTGAGAAGGCACAGAATTTACGGGTTCGTAGTTGGTTTATTGCGGGTATATTATTACAAACGACTTGGTAGCTTGGTTGGCCTTGATATCGCCACTTGCGGCCTTCGGTGTCTCCGACGGTCCTGGTTGTCTCGACGACCTCTCGCCTCGTTGTCTCGGTGCTCCAGTCCTGTAGCTCCCTGAAGATCCTTGAAGCTCCCTGAAGATGCTCGCTCGCTGCTCGTCCCTGACGCGTTGACTCGATGACTGCTTATGACGACTCGGACTCGCGAGGGGGGTCAGCCGTGCGGGCTTAGGGAAGCGTCACCGTTCTCAGACTAGGGTGAACAGATGCTACGCTCTCCAGGATCACTCCTTTCGACACACCGCCGCCTGTCTCTTGCTCTGTCCCGGATGGTCCCACTGGGGTTTCTGCTCAGCCCTCGCGGAAAGTCAAGGATAAACGCCAGGAAGTTGCCTCGCGCTTTACATCGCTTCTACGCCTAGTGTAAACGAACGTTCCACTTAAGCCTCACCCTTCTGCTTATTGTCTTGCGTTTTTGTCGTAATGTGGTGGCTGGCTTGCTGCTGACAATGTCTTGCGCACTGCTCCTGGCTGTGCTGGCTGCGCGGCTGGACGTAGCGTGGCTTCTGGTCTTTGGGGTTTCGGGCGTACGCCTATCCGGGACTTCATGAGGCGAGAACGTCCTCACTGTTGCAGTTGTTCCTCACTGTGCTGGCTGTGCGGCTGGACGTAGCATGGCATCTGGTACTCGGGGTTTCGGGCGTACGCCTATCCGGGACTTCACGAGTCGAGACCGTAGGGCTCTCCTGGACAACTCCACTCGAGACCGTATCGATCGACCGCTCTCCCTTCTGGCTTGTTATACTCGGGACTCGGAGACGCCGTTCTAGGACCTCACGAGTCGAAACCGTTGGGCTCTCCTGGACAACTCCACTCGAGACCGTACCGATTGACCGATCTCTCTTCTGGCTTGTTATACTTGGGATTCTCTAGGTGTAACGACAGGCCTTCACCTAGCTGTGTGATGCCCTCTGGATCTCAGCTACTTGCGTCTCAATTCGGAGATTCCTGGTATCCCAATCCCGAATGTCTCGATGTAGCGCTCTTGCTCCATGTAGGCTCCCACGGCGCTGCTTTTCCGACGACTCAACTTGTTGTAGCTCCATTGTAGTTTATTTAGTTAACTGACCGTTTGGTATCTTCACTGATCTTGATGGTTTGACTCCTCGTGAATGACTGATCCTGCTTCCAGAGCTGCGCCCACTTATATAGGACTCCTGGTACCGTTAGTTCTAGGAATCTGCGCACGGCACCACTTCAGGGTCCAAAGTCCGCGGTTTTACCGTTCGACACGGCCCCACACTAGGGTGCTAAGCGCGGCTATCCACCGTTAATCCTTAGCTCTTTCTCTCCAAGCTCTCTTTCCTCGTACTCTCCAAACTCTCTTAATCCAAATTCTCCAAGCTCTCTCGTACTAAATTCTCCAAAACTCTCCCGAACTGAATTCTCCAAACTCTTTTGAACTGAATTCTCCTAACTCTCTTAAACTGAATTCTCCAAGCTTTCTTTTCCCGCAGTGCCGTTCCTACGCGGATTCGCCGCGTATCTGGTAAGCGGCCGGCCATCTGTCGCTGCTGCTGCTGAGATTTGTTTCAATTCCTCACACTCCGCGCTTAATTCCGGAAACATATAAAAACTCCTTCCTACTCTTCGGCGTTTCCTTGCATATCCGAGCCTTCAAGTCCTCCTGCGTTGCTCCCTCGAAGCTCCCTCGACGCCTTTGAA